ACAGAAATCGCGCGGCGGCGGCATGGCAGCAGCGGAAGGCCCCATTAGCTAAAGTGGTACTTCAGGTTAAGAACAGTTTCAGGTTAAGAATAGACCTCCAGAATGAATTAAGTTCTTAACCCGAGGTACCACTGTACTTTTGGGTATCAAAATAGGTGAACTGTTTGATACAGTTGAAGATTTCACTTATAGGGCAGCCCATTTTTAATCTCTTCAAAATAACATATTATATATAAACATATTATATAAACATATAAACATATTAGCTCAGCTTGTTGATTTTGCATCAACACGTTTTGTTAACAAACACACTAAATTTCCTGTAGCTTCTTTAGATTTTGGGTTTTATTCTAACAAAATGCATACTTGGTCAGCAGAATATCAGAAAAATGCTGCTATGCCTTTATGCTGACTTTTTAATATAACATTTATTAACTTCACACCCCGGAAAGATTAATCTCCTTTGTTCCATTTTCTTTCTGTTGGCAGGAAAACTGATAAATATCTTGGAAAAATCATCTGGTGTCACTACTGTATTTACATCCACAAATGGAAGGCAGACACAGAGGAGACAGCAAAGATTTTAGAAAGCATGCTATAGGCAGTCATAGAGTCTTGCTGTGGTACAACTTGGACTTGTGCTGTTTATTTTCTTGGCGCTTATTTTTAAGGTTATTTTTCATGCTTTTATTTACATTTCAGCATGTATTTTGATGAGCTTGTTTTTATTGTTAGCTGTCTTGAGCAGCATTCTGTTGGAAAGGCAGGACATAATTATTCTTAATAAACAATTAGGTGGTTGGCCCCAGATGCCAATCCTGTAATTATTTAAATATAAAACGGCTAGAAACTGATTCAGGTGCCAATGGAAGCATAAGTCACTGCTCCCTAAACACAGGATTTAATTCTAAATCAGCAGCAGAAAAGAAACAAGCAAATGTACATAATCATGTCAATATAATGCAAATTTAATTTGCAGATTCCTTAGTTATCCCGATAACGTTTTCTCCTAAGTTCTGATCCAGAGTGGTTCTTGGCTCAGGATCTCCTTAATATGAAGATTTAATTACAGTAACAAGACAGCAGTCACTGAGAGTGCTCAGAACACGACACATGCAAATTTACCCTTGGAAGTTACCCAAAATTTGTGCCCCCCAGCAACTGTGACCCTTCCTCAAGCAGGAGTGGTGTAGTCTTACTAGCAACAACACACTGAGTTACTTCTTCCTCTTCGGCAGTCACTCGTAGCTGAATAAGACTGTTTTCCATAAACACGGTTTTAACAATGAGTCCATAAGTGACTGTGGAGGCCAATTCTGGATCCACATGTCCTTCCACAGTGGGGACATTGCTTTCCGGGTAGGAGCTTCTTCTTAGCACATTTCTGTCTTGTGTCCTGAGTTCATGTGTCTTCAAAGCCCGTATGACACCTTTGGTAAAGGCTGTTCTCCAATTGTAGTGCTAGCAAGGCAAGTGTTTCACAGTTGTGGGCGTTTATACTACATTTTTAAAGATTTGCCTTGAGACAGTCTTTAAACCTCTTTTGTTGACCACCAACATTACGCTTTCCATTTTTAAGTTCGGAATAGCGTAGTTGCTTTGGAAGATGATAATCAGGCATCCGCACAACATGACCAGTCCAACGAAGCTGATGTTGAAGAATCATTGCTTCAACGCTGGTGATCTTTGCTTCTTCCAGTACACTGGTATTAGTTCGCCTGTCTTCCCAAGTGATGTGTAAAAAATTTTGGAGACACCATTGATGGAATCTTTCGAGGAGTTGTAGATGGTATTTACAGTGGTACCTCAGGTTACAGATGCTTCAGGTTACAGACTCTGCTAACCCAGAAATAGTACCTCAGTTTAAGAACTTTGCTTCAGGATGAGAACAGAAATTGCACGGCAGCGGTGGGGCGGCGGAGGGAGGCTCCATTAGCTAAAGTGGTATCTCATGTTAAGAACAGTTTCAAGTTAAGAATGGACCTTCGGAACAAATTAAGTTCTTAACCCAAGGTACCACTGTATAAGTGGTCCATGTTTCACAAGCATACAGTAAGGTTGGTAGTACAATAGCTTTGTAAACAAGCATTTTGGTTTCCCTGCGAATGTCCCGGTCCTCAAACACTCATAGTCTGGGGAAACTATGTAAACAAGTTCCTACTTTCATTCCCAGATCTAGGCTAGAAAGGGCATGGTAAGGACAGGGTGTTCATCCCTGTTGTGTTGAGATTCTCTGAAGTCAATGCATGGTCAAAGAGAGCCCTCATTCCTCACCAGGCTGTGGTCAAAGTACTGTAAAACTGAGTTTATCAACCCTGCTAGACAAGATCCTTTTCAACTAGAGAAGCCAAGTTACATGCAAAGCTAATGCCCGTAGCTCTCTCCTCTGACTTTAGCACGCTTCTGAAGCAATTCACATCCCACGCTTTAATATTCATACCATCACAAGGATATTAAATCCATATTTAAATCTGTTCTGATAACTAATCAGCTTCAACGAAGATTTTATTCTGAACTGCTCAGAAAGAGATGCTGCCTCTCTCTACTCTGAGCTCATGTTACCAAAGAAAACGTTTGCTGTGGCAATTTATTATCCTTATTGATTTTATAAATTATACAGGAACAAATAAATTAATGATGAAACAGCCACCTGTCTCTGTGTAACCAATTTCACTTGAAAGTAGAATGACTAGGAATAAATTTACCTAAAGGTATTGCTATAGCCAGGACAAGCTAGTTCTCATCTGAGCTCCCTGCTTGGGATAGGAACAGAATACTAAGATGATTTTCAAAATTCTGGAGCATACCCTACAGTTGTCCAGTGATCAAGATTTCAGGCAGAGAAGATTGCTATCTGTATTTGCACATGTGGCAATAATACTGTAAGTTCAACAGAATAGAAACACAGGAGTTCTCTTGACAATCAACATTGCATGTGAAATCCAAAACACAGTTACTGATCAGAATACTGAAGGTGAAAAATGGAGGAATAAAAAAGAGCCTTGGAGTTTGAAAGGTTTGTGAGATTATAGATAAGATTCCCCCCGTTTTATTATTGCATATTTTTCTTGTAGTTATTTTTTGAATATTTTCTTATTACATTTGTTTCATAAAGATTTTTAAAAGAAAAGAAAAATTGTCTACCAAATCTTATGCAACTGGCAGGAAAACACACAAGCATGTGGAAACCTCAGGCTCTAGAATATGCACACACAGAATTAGGTTCAACAGTAAAATGGCTTTAAACCTAAGCCAAGGGTTCAGAAGCAACATCAAACCATAGTTTGGCATTGTATTCACAAGCCTGGATTGAACCTACCTCTCACACAATCCTTTAGCCTTCCTCACACATGGAGATGCCCTATTCATTTTCCTGATTTGAGCAAACTATATTTAACAGTTTAATCCCATTTGGTCATGGGTTACAAACCATACTTTCGTGGCTCAGACAAACCATACTTTCATGGCTCCTCAAACCAAGAAGTCATGAACTGGCACACACAAAGGAGAGAAAAGAAAAGAGCCAACGACATACTCCAGTTTTATGCCCAACAGGGGCGGCCCCAGATGGAACTCAGGTTACAAGGGTGATCAAAGGATTGATGGTCCTTGGGACCATTGTGTACATCAGTTCTCATAGCTACTGTAGCCTTGTACCTGAACCACCACTATGTGTGATAAAGTACAGCACACATTCCATATACGGAAAGTCTTGTGTCGTCTTAATTGTGCAAAGGCGTTTTTGCTCCAAGCTTGCAGGTACTTTCACCAGGACGTTCACTCACACACAACAGACACACACACCAGCATGGTGAGAGTAGCTTGAACCCATGCATGTACATTTAAAAACAATGAGCTCAGCCTGCAGGATTCAGAATTAAGTAACCAAAAGATTTTGAATTTAAGTCACCAATGTATTAAGAATCATCAAAATGTACCAAAGCCAGAAAAATGATATAGACAGAGCAGGTGAAGTCTGCTCACATCTTCCATCCCCAATATGTGGTCACAGTACAGTGGTACCTCGGGTTACATATACTTCAGGTTACAGACTGCGCTAACCCAGAAATATTAGCTTGGGTTAAGAACTTTGCTTCAGGATGAGATCAGAAATCGTGTGGTGGCAGCGCAGCAGCAACGGGAGGCCCCATTAACTAAAGTGGTGCTTCAGGTTAAGAACAGTTTCAGGTTAAGAACGGACCTCCGGAACAAATTAAGTATGTAACCAGAGGTACCACTGTACTTAAAGAGTGACTGTGCCCCCTGAATATTTATGAACAGAATTACTTGAAATGATTATTTTGTACAGAAACTGAATGTGCCAGCTTCAGACATATAATGTTTATGGAGCACAACAACCAAAAAATGGAACTGGGTGATAATCTTTCCATATGAGAAGACGTTTGTAAGTAGCAGATGCCCACACGGGTACAACAATTTTAAGCTCACTGAGCATGGTTTTGCTACCATAATTAAAACTTCCAAAGCCGTGGGGGCATTACACAAATTGCCACTTCCATGGAAAGAAGCTAGCGTAATCCCTGTTTCTGGCAATTACCGTACCATAAATCTAAAGTCTAACAGTCATAAACAGCATAGTTGAGCCGGTCAAGATTGCAGAAATTCACCAAAAAACTGATGGTGCAGAAAAGACCCCAACCTACACAGAAACTAACTACTGAATTCCAACTACTCAGAAAGTTATATCGATGGCAGCCATGTTGAATACAAATGGCAGTATAAAAATCTTGACTGAAAATTATTCCTGTTTCAAAGTACATTCACCCAACCAAAGCCTAATAGCTTTTGAGAACTTGCAAGGTTCTATCCACACGAATGGACAGACAAGTTATGAATATTGGCAAGTCATTAAGTTATATAAGGGATGTTCCATACTCCAAGCTGAAACCAGGGTTTTTTCATGTAGTACAAGTAGTACACACAGTTGATTGGGAAAAAGGAGGCATAGAACTCCTCTCTAACACAAAAATCATACTTACCCTTGGTTGCCAGTTTTCATACTGTTTCTGCAGATTTGCACCAATAGTTTCCAAAGCTTTCTGTGGCCCCATTGACAGAGGATCTAAAACACATAAAAGAGTCATGAGACTTTTGATCAGTTCCTCAAGAATATTCACATAATTTCTGCTTCAGCCAAATGTGTATGGAGGGAAGGGTATTTGAATACAGATTATAGCCCACGACGTTACTTTGCACCAACCTTGTGCAATCTCCAAGGATGTAACGTAGCAAACCAGGCAATTTGCATAAATTCTGGATAAAAGGCCCTGGAGCATGAGACAGCTGCTTCCTCTAGGACACTGATAGAAAGGGAGCTTGGTGCAGAGACACTAACATGCTTAGCATTTCCAGCAGTCTTGCCCTGTCCCAGCCAACTGAAGACTGCTACCTTAAAACAGAGGTAATCAACCCAGCAAGGTGCCATGACACCCATGAAAGCTTACTTAAGTAAAAACAAGTATATAGCCCCCCTAGAAAGGAAGTTACGGGATAAAATGTGCAGGTACCTTCTAAGTGATTTCTGTGAAATGAGATTATGATGTGGCCATGTAGTATATTTTTCGTGGTACTGTTATTAGACAGCAACAACGTACGTGTGTGTGTGTGTGTGTGTGTGTGTGTGTGAGAGAGAGAGAGAGAGAGAGAGAGAGAGAGAGAGAGAGAGATCTCCACAATCCAGACCAGCAGGTCATAGCTGTCTTCCCATGGTAAGCATAAAGTTATCAAGGTGGCTGTCTCCCTAATTTCCATCGAGCTCTGCTCAAATAGAGGATTTTTCACAGATAAAAAGCTAATGCCCATCATCACACAGCAGTGCTCTCTGCTTAAAACTTCTGAAAAGCTGTATTTGAGGTTCTCTAACAATCAGGGTTTAGTGCAGTGAGATACAGGAAATTATATTTCAGCACTGCAGCTTCAGAACATCAGGATTTTGATAGGCATGAGGATCACCAACAGAAGCGATTAGCATTTTTGTTCTAGTAGCTGATTTATTTATTTTCAAAATAAGAAAAGAACAGATAGGTAAATGGCAAATGCTTGTCCAAGACCAAATCAAAATATTCCAAAAGACACACAAAGAAAAAGTAATCCCTTCAGCTGCTCTGCTCATCTTTTATCAAAACAGAAGTTTCTGGAGAAGTATGTGGTCAGTTGTTATCAAGGCTAGTGCAGTTCAAACACAGAATTGAGTATCAGAGTAGAATTTAGTATTCTGAACATTTATGGATCCCACTTTTCAATAAAGGAACACTCACAAAAAGAAGTTCTCAACACAGTTATGGAGAAAAACTGCTGAAGCTGGGGAGAAAGTAATGATTTCCAGTAATAGCAATTCCTCAGACTTATGCAATCAACTTGTTGCCCTCCAGATGCTGTTAACTCCCAACTTGCATCAGCCTCAGCCAGCACCATCAATTGCCAATGAGACAACAGATACAGTCATTTCCAGATGTTGCTAATGTAAGCCAAAGGGAATTCAGCTGCTTACATTCACTCATGTGTTGAGCCCTAGCTGTACCTATATTAAAGGAACAGGCTTCCCCATTTGGGGGAGAAGAATATTGCCCCACAACACTAAAAACCAACATGAAAAGTTCTCACCTATTTTAAAGCAGAAGATGGGTAAGCTAGCATTTCTGTCTCCTGACACTCACAATACACAATTCAGACAAAAGCTTACATCTCCCCACTTAACTGCCTGTATCTTCCTCAGAAGGCCCTTCTCATTCTTTAAGAACCGAGCTAAAAGCATCCTTCCAATACAGTACCATGCTTTTGGCAAAGCTAGGGCTGAAAAACTGGGTCATTTCCAAATTACTCCCTGAAGCACCAAGATTAATTTGTAAAAAATGCATGCAAAGAGAGACTAATGAGTTACAGTGCAAGTCCACCCAGGGAAGAATCATGTCCTTGTGGAATGCCAAAGGAACATTTGCATGCTTAATGGAACCCACCTGACACTATGGACAAAAAGAATAACTCTAGTATCGACTGGTGAAGCAATAGCTCTAAGGTGAAAAGAACTAAGAATGGGTTAGACATATTCCCTATTCAATTTTTTTTACAAAAAATACTATAAAGAATTCTTGCTTTCTGAAGTCTCCTATTAGTCAATGCTTTTAAAGCTGGCTTTGGACTTGACACAAAGATAACACCCAAATCAGTAACCTACACAATCAACACAATGCTCAGCTGAGCCAATCTCATTCTTCATGAAAACATTTTTCATCCATAAATGTAGTAGCTTAATACAGTTTAATACTGTATCTCCCAATCACCAGCATGGTTTCTAAATTCATGGAGTGAACTCTGACCAGTCTAAACTTACCTCAGAGGACAGTTGTGACTCTCATCAAGAGGCAAATACTTTCAGGCAGTTGGCGTTTTGTCTAGATAAGCAAGTTGCACTATGGAACACTGTTTCTCGGGTCACACATTCAGAATCAAAATGTTGGAATAGCCTGCTCTATGCCCTTGTAGTAGACCTCCAAGGTGACCCAGAAGTGATTATCAAGCACATCTTCCAGTTGCTTAACTCTGATGTTTTCTCATGCATCCTTTCAGACCCACTAAAATGCCCAGGAAGGATCCAGCAAAAGCACCAATAGCAAAGAAAAGTAGTGGTAAGAGCTCACTTCAGACAAATGACTGAAAAGATTGGAGAAATAGAAAACAGTGGCACTGGCAAAATCAAAAGGAAAATGAAGGGGATAATAAAAAAAATAGACAGCTGTTGTGTAGTTCTTGCCATGGCTACTCAAAAGAGCAGCTGCTTAAGAAGGGCCAGAACCTCCAAGGCTCCAATGGAAAAGCTAGTTCTTGTTAGCCTCAGAACACGTGTTCTGGTTATACAGGATTCCTTTACCATCAATTTTATTGTACTGAAATAATAAATGCATTGTATCTGCTGTTACCCAGACATGAAATGCTATCTTCATCAAGTATTTAGTCATACATCATTAAAGGTAAAGGTAAAGGACCCCTGGATGGTTAAGTCCAGTCAAAGGTGACTATTGGGTTGCGGCGCTCATTTCCCTTTCAGGCCGAGGGAGGTGGCGTTTGTCTACAGACAGCTTTCCAGGTCATGTGGCCAGCATGACTAAACAGCTTCTGGTGCAACAGAACATTGTGACAGAAGCCAGAGTGCACGGAAACGCTGTTTACCTTCCCGCCACAGTGGTACCTATTTATCTACTCACACTGGCATGCTTTCAAACTGCTAGGTTGGTAGGAGCTGGGACACAGCAACAGGAGCTCACTCCATCATGGCGATTTGAACCACCAACCTTCTGATCGGCAAGCCCAAGAGGCTCAGTGGTTTAGACCACAGCACCACACGTATCTCCTTTACCTATATATCATTATTACGGGCTAGTATGGTTTCCAGACACAGTGGAGTAGTAACTGTCCTGGGATTGCTGTTTTCCCTTCTGCTAAAATTAACTCTTAATGATGCATTGTGGCATTTGGGTCACATTTAGGGGAAAAGAACAGTATTATTTTACAGTTAGTCCATTTCTAGGGACTGTAACAAACCATGTCACATTTTCTGCCTTGTTTTGATGCACTGCCTCCATTAGGCAGTGTATAAACAGAGAGATTTCAGTTGAATTACATTGCTTCTATTCAGTATTCAACTCATTTACACTACTGCCATAAACAGATTTCCCCCCCTTTGAATGCTACAGGGCATTCATCTTTCTTAATGACATTTTCTACACACTTATTGTGACATTTAATGCCAGGTCATAAAGCAAAACCAAAATAAGAGACAGGTGTCATTTTTCTAAGAGAAGATAGGAAATATTACAGGAACACTGTCTATTATCTGGAGTGAAAGCAGTACACCTAACAACCGTATCTTCTCAAAAATGAATGTACTAGTGCTTCAAAGCTCATTCAAGGCAAATTACAGAAGATATGCACACCTATTCTTCACTCAACCTTCAAAACATAACCGCATTTTGTTCACTCCAGTTTTAATCCCAGGGAGACAGATTTAAGGCACAGCAAAAGGAGAAGAGTGCAAAAACATTACTTAGTGGCTATTAAAATACCACTGTGTTTTTTAAAAAGTATAAATTGTGTGGGGCTCACGTATATAAATATCACACACAGTGGTACCAGGTGACAAAACAGGGAATGCTCAATTCCTACATTGTTTCACTGCAGGGATGCAAAGCCCCTTCCTTCCTTCTACTTCCCAGTTACTCAATATGCAGAAGAGTCTAGAACACAGAGTGCAGGGGGAAAGGCTGTATCACTTCTCACTATTCATCTTTCAGTGGCTTGCTGTGCTGCATGTGTGGGGAAGGAGATGCAAAGTGTTACTTCTTTCAACACTTCCATCTTCTTAGCAGCGCTATAGCAGGAAACCCTAAATATTTCTGTAGCTCTCTGCTGCTCTGGCCAGTAAGCAGCAGATTGGAGCAAAACATGTTCAGGCTCTCCTGGACACTGGAAAAATCATGCCTGGGTTTTCCTGGTCCTCTGCTACTTGCAAATCAGACTGAGCAAGCAGGTGGAGAGTACCCCAGTACAAAATGCAGACAAGAAATGATTATAAAAGTGTGATGTCTTCTCAGCTAGTTGGGAATGCCAGCATGCTGAGTCAAATGGAAAAGCATGACTCCTCACAATTATTTCCTATACTCAGTGCACTTATTTCTAAGAAATGAAATAAAATACACAGTTGTTGTAGCACCTCAAATACTAGCATTATACCACGGCTGTTATAATACAAGGAGAAATCATCCATACTTATCTTCACATAACTGAACATGCATGCAAACATAAGTCTTGGTTAACAGCTCTGCAGTAAATGCTGAAGTTACTTTGTAAAACCTTCTGTCTTCTTAGCAATTAAACCTGACGTTGCAGCTCTTTTATAGGGTAAGAAAATACCCAGACAATACCAATATGAATGCCTCTGGCTTTTTGTTCATTTCAGACAAGACCTTTCCACTGACTGCAATATTCCAAAATGTTGGAGCAATCGAACATTTCCTAGATTTTGTTTGTCCATTAGAATACATGCTCTTAAGAAAGCCATAGACCCACACAGAACAAGTTAATTATGCATACAAATCACGGGCACTGGGAAATACCTGATGTGTGTGGGGACAGACTGCATTCATACTGAATATGTGACATTATAAATGACATTAAATTGTCATTTAGACAACAGCAGTGCACAGAAAGTTTTATCTCTCCCTCTCTCCACCAAATTCAATTTATCAAAATTACTGTCAGAACCCATACTTTTGTGACATTTGAACTAAACTGAAGTTCTGGCAAGGAGCTGCTGCTTTAATGAAACATTTACATACACAAAGCACCCCTGTTCAATTACGATTAGGGTCTATTTGTCAACAAACAAGAATTAATGCCCACTCTCAATTAAGATACCAGGAAAATGAGGTGGACTAACACAAAAAGAAAAGGAAAGAATTATGGTTGTGCAATTTCTTCAACAGACATTTCAGTTTGAGAATTATGGCCCCCAAGGTCCAGTCACTCGGCCATGTCAATATGTCTTCTCAGCAGTCAAAAATCACAATGTAAAATTGTAAGAAAATAATTTGGCTTGGGGTTTTTGGTGACCTATATCTAACCTGCATTATGAAACCTCTTTCTAGTAAACAATGAAATGCAAAATGCATACTATTACACCCAAATCCTTGCAGATATCAAAACTTCACTACATTAACTCCAGTTATATCCAGGGACAAACACAACAGAGGGACTATAATGTACAACTAATCACACACTATTCATAACAGGATATTCAAAGTGGCCCCGAAAAGGTGTTGCGACCCATGTGCCTCTGAAATCCTCTAGAATAGATCAACTATGAGCAGCATGTTTCTGGTTTCACACAAATAGCAGTGGCCATGCAGAGAAGTGTTATTGGTATCTGCTCCACAATCCTCCCCTGCAAAGCTAGCCTGAGGCTGAATCGCTCTCAGACAGATAAGCCCTTTTACACTAGGGCTGAATTTCAGTGGCTTAAAATTAAGCTGCCAGGAGGAGGTAGTGTGGCATTTAGTAAATCAACCTGCTTTAATCTGCATTTTAACACAGGGTTTGTGTTTAATGTGTTGTTACCTGCCTCCAGTCTCAAGACAGGGCTGGTTAAAAGATTAAACAAATAATATTCAAATGGACTCACCTATCCAGCACTCAAGACGGGCACATGGAGTTGTCTTCACCACATCAGGAGGGTCCACTCCGACATTTAGACACAACACTAAGGCAACACTAACCGTCTTCATCTGAAAAAAGGAAGAGAGATGATCAGTACATTGTTTTAGACAATCCTTTAGCCTTTTCAGACCAAACATACATTTGGGGACCAGTTTCTTACTGTTTTACCATATAATTGCATGGTGGTAGTACCGCTGTTGTGACCCACATCAGATCAGGCCACGATCACTAGTAGGTCCTGACCCAACAGTGCTGTAGCATACATGGCCTAAAAACTCATGTATATATCTACAAATACTAACAAGAGAAGATAAAGGCATCTTTACTGAAATTTTGTTTCATCATGTAGGATAGCCCTCTGAAAGAATATTAGCAGGTAATATAATTGCTTAAGCTTCTAAAATGAAAGGTTTTGCCCATTAATCTCTGTTCTAAGCAACAACTGGTGGAGGGTATTTCTACTGCAATTCTTTAAGCAAGTTTAACGGCCTGCACAAACAATAAGTAGACATTTCGTTTGCTGTCACTGTAGGAAACTGAGTTCAACATTCAGCACGAAAATGTGTTCCCGTTCTCCAATGGGAAATTCCATCTGTGCAATGATTGCTGTGATTAATATGCAGACAAAAGCTTCTCAGTTCTGCTATAGCATCTATAACAACCAAATTAATTTATTAGACAAGTTAGCAAAAAGTATGGATAACCTTCTGCACCATAACCCCAAACTCCCAAATGCACTCTCAAAGTGCTTGTGCTTGTATCTGTACCAAGTATTTAAAAACAGGCACTTGCCTGGTAACCTTTGTCAAGAAAAAACAATTTCCAGCTGTATAGGTAAGAAATCTTTTGTAAGTAGAAGAAAGCTGCTTCTTTCAGGCCACTGATGTGCACAAACAATTAACATGGGTGGGTACAACAGCACAAATGTTTGCTTGGTTTGCTGATTTGTTTTGTGGACTTATTGGAAAAGCTGGTCCTACCATTCTGAAATGTACAAATTAGGGAAAAGGTGGCATAAAATATTTACAACAAATTTTAAAAATTTAATTGCAACAATTTTGCTGAAACCTATTTCTACATGGTTTTAGAGAAAAGTCAAATGTTGTTTGTGGCAAATTGCTGACTGACCCTATTTCTAATTATACTAAGGAACTATTAAATACAAGGTTGCACCCTAAACATTCATGTATTGATCTCCAAATCTGTTTCTTGATTAGGGAAATCTGCCTCAGGTTATCTTTTGTTCAGAAAACACATCCTGGGGCTGCATATGTGTCTTAAATTCCTAGAGCTGCTGTTTCTAAAGCCCTTAGTGCAGTTCCACTGAAGACTGATTGCCAGTGGATCTCTGCCAAACTTCATGGATTAGGCAGAGTCCAACAGAAATGCTTTATTAAAAAGTAATGGAAACACATTATTCAAGATTCGCAAATCAATAATGCAACATAGCATGCCTTGCTTTAAGTGACCACTCAGGAAGCCAGATAAACAAAAAGAGCCTTAAATGTGTTTTAAATCTCTTAAAATAAAGCTCATATATTGCAGGTAGATCACAAGACACAGTTTCACCATACATGTTATCACTGAAGAAACGAATTTGATTCTAAGCATACTACATGGTTTGTGGTAAAGAATATCTGTGCAATATTCTTACTGCAAAACTGGGTAATTGCATGCTCTCCAAAATATTATACTTTAAGAACTCCCACACTGTACAGGGGCCAAACTATACCACTTCAATTTGTAGCTATCTAATAATAGCTGTGGGACTTATTACAGTGGTGTATGATAAGAGCTAATGATGCCCTTAGGCTCATGTTGTCTCAGTCCACTATTACAACAGCCTCTTCTCCCCACTCTTTCCGTTCATTACATATCTTGGCTATTCCAGTCTCACAGGAGCATGCATATATATATATATATATATATATATATATATATATATATATATATAATTGGGACATTGACAAGAAAACTATGGCCAAAGAATTGCACAGGGACTTTGGCCTAATCCAATATATGCAGACAAAAAGCAGATGATGTTACATGATGAATCTTTTGTAAGAAGCATGAACAAAGACAAATAATACAAGTTCAGCGCTGATACAGCCTGAAATTCCACAAACCAGACATTTCACCTTCTTTTAAACACAGCCTCTGAGCAAGAAACCTCAAGCTACTGAAGATAAAGTACCTGACTCAGTAACAGTCTCAGAGTTGAATTACAGAACTCCAAAGCAATAAAGTGTAACAAAAAAAGCTGAAAAGAAATAAAGCATTTCATAATTTCATAATAAAAACCCAACAAGAAAGGTGTGATTAAATGATGCCGCCAGGGACCAAAGGCAAGTACCGTAACAGTTTCTGCAGGGAAGGTCTACTGCGGTCAGTCTAGATATGATGTAACACATGCAATAAAACAGTAACATTACATCCCGAGGAACAAGACCATTATAAAATACAGAATACAAAAAAGTGGATATTTTACTAATTTTAGAACACCAAGGAAGTTCAATTGTCAATCCTATCTCCTTAGATTTTTCCAGTGTGATAAAACTTTGCTGAATAAACTACCGCCATAAGAATACAAGATGAAGCCAAAGGTCCATCTAGTCCAGACATAGGAAAACTTGGCCCTCTAGATGTTTTGGGACTACAACTCCCATCATCCCTACCTAACAGGGCCAGTGGTCAGGGATGGTGGGAATTGTAGTCTCAAAATATCTGGAGAGCCGAGTTTGCCTATGCCTGATCTAGTCCAACGCTCTGCTTTCACAGTGGCCACATAGGAAGCTCAAAAAGAGGACCCAAGAGCAAACAGGATGAGTGTGAACCTCAGCAACTGGTAATCAGAGGCATGCTACCTCTGACAGCAGAGGCAGAATGTTGCCATTGTGGCTAATAGACATGGGCAACCTTTTCTTCCATGAATTGGTCTAGTCCTCTTTCAAAGCGATCTGCACCTCTTGTGAGAACAAATTACATTTTAACCACAAGCTGTGTAAAGAAATACTTTATTTTGTCTGTCCTGAATTTTCCAACATTCAGCTTCACTGGACATCCCCAAGTACTGCTGTTAGAAGAGAGGAAACAAAACTTTATATTACTGACTTTCCCCATGCCATGCATAATCTTATACACCTTTATCATGTCACCTCTTACTTGCATTTTCACTAAAGGGAAAAGCTCCAAATGTTCTACAGGCAGCGAACATTTCACACGGGGGTTCCATCCCCGGCCCCCGCAAGCAGCAATGGAGCGTGCATAAGCACATTAAACCCCATCACCACCCCCTATCTGCTCTGTTCCGGGTCCAAAAAGACCTGCGCATGGGCGATCATATGTCAATTCAATGTGCCTAAAATGGTCACCGCCTGTAAGCTTCCCTTGAAAGGGACTTGCTCCACACCCCTTGATTCTTCTTATTGTGCTTTTCAGAACCTTTTCCAGTTCTACAATTTACATTTTGAGGTGAGGTGACCAGAACTGTACACAATGTTCCAAATGCAGTCTTACCATAGATTTGTATAACTCCATTTGTTCAAACATGTGACCCAGAATCAGAATCAGAATCAGATATGAGCATTTGCATCCATTCATAAAACATACATGGAGGTACAACAGGTTGCATGGATACTATGGTAGTTCCTTTCTCTTTGGAAAAAGAATGCATTAAATTATAAAGTTTCTTCTGTTTGCACTGTGATAAGATATTAAATATAGAGAACATTTATTGGATGCTATCCTTTGCCTCTATATATTTGTACTACGGGCATTAAGTGTTTTAATTATGAAGATGAAAAGCTATTAAAATGGGCTTTATTATATAATAAAGCAAGATTTGTAGTGCCTAGTCAAGAACTGCCAGTTGGCTTCACATCTCTGTCTTGCCTAGGGCTGCTAATTCAATGGCAACAGAAGAAAGTTTGGATCAAATACACGCATTCTGATATATCCAGGGCAAGGAGCGGGAGGAAAAAAAATCAAAGATCAATCATTAATAACACTCTAAAGTTGCCCAAAACTTATTTCTGGGATGGCATCATTCCTTGATTGTTGTTTACCACAATTCCTTATTTTAAAGTCGCATATATAAGGGACCTCCTCTCACAAATATTTACATAAATAGTACTCAGCATTCCCATGCCTTTCTAGAGGAAAACCACCTGGATCTCCACATCCCTGGGGTGCTCATTAAGATTCAGAGCAGGGGGGAAAACTTTCAGCAAAGCTGAAGCCATACAAATGTATAATTTATAGAGAAAGCTAGAAACTGGAGCACACAGCAGAGAGACTGTATGAAGAAAGAATTGGAGGGTGGGACCAAACAGGGAGAATCCCATGTATTTTTAGAGTAAAAACCCTGCAGTCTCTACTATCTCCTCCCTCTCCCTATATCCAAAAAGCTTGCTGCAAAACACGTCAGCACAGGGGCTACATCCCAAGGCAAATTGTTGATCAAAATGCATTGCTATCATGGACGTTATGCACGTTTCACATTTCCTCATTTTATGTTATCAAGGGGTTAAAGTAATGCTTTCTAGGATGCAGGAGGAAGCTTCATGATTTCTGAAGCAGTTCCTCCTATCAGCACTTTACAGGAATTCCCAGAGGACTGAACAGCCCTTAGGAAAGGGGAGAAAGCAGTTTCACAGTTACCAGGTATTTCAGTTTAGAAGCTTTATTGTGCAACAGAGAAAAAGAAAAATTGGACAAAGTCTGATTCCATCTTAACACACATAAATGTGAACTATGTTATGTACAGGCATTTAGCCCTATGGGAATGTGCTTGGTAGTGTAAAGCAGAACAAAATGCTATGGTCTTGAATTAAATTCTGCCCCAACTAGCTCAACTCTTATGCTGCTTGCACACAGAAGATGACAGGAAGCCAGACCATGGTACTGAGAAACGCAGGGAACAGACACCAAGTGCTCACCCATTTCTGAACAAAGATGAGTAAGGGTCTGGAGACCAAGCCTTATGTGGAACAGTTGAGGGGGTGGGTATGTTTAACCTGGAAAAGAGGAGACTCGGAGGAGATATAACAGCCATCTTCAGATATCAGAA